AGCAATGTTTCTTCCTCCCTATCTGGATTGCTCTAGCTTTCCACAAGCTGCATAAAAGGACACACTGGGCAATCCAACAGTGCTTCGAAACACTATGGAAACCTGTAGCTTTAGCTAATGACAAAGAATTTAACCATCACCATCCGAACACCACAAAAGGTCTTACACAGCTCATTTCAGAGAGGCACCAAGTGAACTTTATAAAGAAGCACTCAAGTCTCTGCCCTCACAGATTACCATCTCACAACAAGGTGCATTTTCAATTGTTAGGTCACACTCCCAAGAACTATTACAGCCACACACAAAATCACTTGTGTGGATTATCGGACGCTGAGACACATTCATTTTTCCAAGCAGATTAGCTTTGTTTAGATTTTTCAAGTTACAGGCTTTATTATGTCAGCTTCAATCAAGTACAGAATACCTTGTGAACCCTCAAACACTGCTACAAATGGCTATCGATCATCAGACACACAACTAATTCCCTTTCTGTTGAAAGAATCTGTTTGTTGCTTTGTTTACACACTACTATCTACACAACAAATGAATTCAGGGTGTTCAAAACACTCAGCGCTGCACATAAGAGCCTACAAACAACAGGAAATGCAAATTCTCTACGTGTGCAATTGGACAGTAAAGATTCAGAGTTTCATTCAATTTATATGGCTCTCTCACTGCAGATCTTTCCACCAACAGTTTCCTGCTCTCCAGCATCCAAAAATAACAGATACTATAACTTTCATCTAGGGTTGCCAGATGGTTGGAAAAAAAAAATACACCAAACAGCTCCCCTCCCCCAAAATACCGAACACCCCCCACGAAAAAACTGAACACCTCCTCTCCCCCCACCCCCCATCCAAAAAGGAAAAAATTATGTTGAAGGGGAAAAAAAGGGAGGGAGACCAAAGTTGTTGGGGGAGGAGGGGAAATAAATAAAAAAAAAAAAAAAAAAAAAAAAACCAGCATGTCCCCTTTAAAAGTGAGTGCAGGGATAAGAGTGGTTAAGCAGTAACACCCAGGAGAAAGCATTGCTTCCCCTGAGTTTTTTGGCCGGCACCCATTTTGTGCCGGCAGCGTCGGGGAACCAGGTAAGCATGAGGACTGTGAGTGTTGTGAGTTGGGGGCACGGGCGCTGAGTGTTTGTAGGGTTGCCAGATGCCCGGCATTTCCATCTCCTGGCCAGGGAAAAATTCAGAAAATACTGGACATTTTAGGTGTCCAGTATTCTCTGAATTTTTTTTTTTTTTTTTTAAACTGGACAGGAGCCAAAAATACTGGAATGTCCGGGTGAACACCGGACACCTGGCAACCCTACTTTCATCTAATTTCAGCACGACAGACTACAAACTAAATTCTGATAAAGCAAAAATTGGGATATGCAACACCGAAAGTGTTTTTCAAAAAAATCAGCTTTAAAATAAATAAATAAATAACTGCTCAAAACATAGCAAGGAACACATTTTGCCTGTAATTTCTTAAATAGCAAAGAAATATGTCATCTATACAGTCTGCCTTTCCTTCAAACTAGGGATGTAATAGTATAGTCAATTAACCGGTAAGCAAAAGCTTATAGGTTAATGCTATAGGCTACACATTCTCCATGTCCTGCCCTCTCCGCCCCCGCCCCCGTAAATTTTTTAGCAGGCTGGCCAGCAGCTCAGCTCAGTCCCACTTCCACCAGGTCCCGGACTTACACTTTAAATGCAGAGCTGCAGTGGGGTATTAGGAGTCAGGCAGGCAGGCCGCCCAGCTCAGTTCTGCTCACGCTGGGTCTGGAAGCTCAGACCCACCCATTCCCTGGGCAGGGGCTACTGCCACCCTGTGCTGCTGCCAGCAGTGCAGAGTGGAAGGGGGCTCCCCCAGGAGTGGGGCCAGCCCCACCCCCAGGGACTATAATCAACTAACCTAAATTCATGAGGTTAATCGACTATTCAATTAAGCGATATTTAACATCCCTACTTCAAACTACCAACACACTAACAAGAGATGCATGGTGCTATGTAATGTCTTTTAACAATAGCAACTGCAGCTTACTTTCTGGTTCATGAAAGTTGTCAGCAGAGAGATTTTGTAAGCTATAGCTCAAGAATGAAACAGGGCCCAAAGAAAGAACAGAGGAAATGAAGTTTTGAGACAAATCTTGTATTTACTGGATGTGAAAGGCTTATTTTCCAGTTCCTCCCTATCCCAAGATAACATGATCTAGTTCCTCTATTATTAAAATGTCAATGTTTTAAAAAAAAGCAATAAGTCACCCACTGTGGACAGAAGAGAAAGCATCCTTAGACCTCCTTGGAGTCGCTTTTATTACAAAAGGTACATCAAGCATGCAGTTACAACCCTATTTAATAGAAAGGGGAGTGAAAGAGACTAAATAGCAGTACAAAGAACTATGACCATCAGTATAACAGTCATACTTCTTGTTTATGTAGGTTGTAGCTACTAACTAGGGGGTAATATCAGACATACAAGTCTGATATTTCCACTAGCAGAAGACAGCAATACAAGCACACACACCTGTCATAGGCAGAAATCAACTGAAGTAGGATACATACACAATCTTATTCTGTAGCAAGTTAACAGACTGAAGAATCTTCAGCAAGATTCTCTCTCATGTTCTATCGTTCTTCAGGAAGACTGCTATGGGACAGACGATAATGATGCCACGTGAATGGGAAGCTGGCAACATGGCTCAGGAAGCAACTGAGAGTCAGGGGACTTGGGTTCTACTCTGAGCTCTTCCAGACTCCATGTGGCATAGGGGAAAAAAAACACTTAGCCTGTGACTGTTTCCCGATCTGTAAAATGGGGATAATACCGTCCTATATCACACTGTGATACACAACTCATTAACATTTGGCAAAAGCTGAGGCCCTCGGATGGAAGTCTCTACATACGTACTATAATAATTGGAAGTTACTGAGATCATTCAGCATTGGCCTTTAACCAAAATTGTTCAGTAGTTGGGAATGCCTGAATTTAAAGTCCTTCCAATAACATTACTCATTATTGATTTAGTATGGATAATCCACTCAACACTGTACAAAACAAAAAGATCAGTCCTGATTTCCAAAGGTGCCATACATTTTAATAAAAGATGCACGTCAAAAAACTGACAGATGGCTTTGAGTAGCTCATCCAATGCTTGTCCAGAAGTTATAGCCTCGTAGTACAAGACGGCATCCCATTTGTATAGAGTTCTGAACACGACATCTTTTTCAAAATACCAACCTGCACCTGCATAAAAATCAAATTTGTTACATCCACCTCCCTCCCCCCCCCTCAAAAAAAAAGTTTCCGAAAAAAGTCTATAGAAAATCCAGGTTTTCACCATTTGAGTTTCTGGATTCCCAAACTCTTGAAAAGAGCATATAAAAAAATTTCTATACAAGAGGCAGACAAAAATAATCCCTCATCCCTCACAGGCAGAGTTTCATGCTTCACTGAAGTTCTTTATTACCTGCTTCCTTATCGTAGAGCTGCGTCTGCCACTGATCAGAAGCCCAGAACGGAGCATCGGTGGAAGATGGAGAGGAAAGAACACAGGCAAATGTCAAAGGGACCAAAGCACATGCTTGAATAGGATAGTTTAAAAAAATGTTCTCATTGTTGGTGGCAAAAGGAGCCAGATATGGAAAACAATTTCAATGATCTGCACTGTGTCAGTTCAGAGGATCTTTGGAAAGACTAAGTGATTTAATATAAAACTACTATCATCCTGAAACTCCAACAGGGGAGCCAACTGCCTTTACACAAAACTATACTTAACCTCTTCCTTCCAACCATATGGAAAGCCACTCTATAAGCCCCTTTTACTCTAACTCAAATTGGTTATAATTTCGAAACTAAGTCAATTTAACTGGATGATTTAAAGCCACAGGAAAAGAGGAAGAAAAAAGCAAACTGGTTTCCCTCTGTGCTGTTAATATAAGCATTATTCATTATAACAACCTGTAATAAAAAATAAAAAATTGACAGCCAAATTAAACTATTTCCAAACAACAAGACCATGATTACAAATGATTTCATAATTACTGTTTATACAGGTGGCTATCAGTGCCTGATCTAAAGGAGGTCTGAGCCTGCTCTGTTAAAGGCCTTTCCTTTTACCTTATTTCTGGGGTTCCGAATGCCTTCGTTTTCTGTAAAACTGAATCAGGGGAGATAGGGATAACCAAAGCCTACTGGAGAATTCAGCTCAGCTTGTCTGCCAAGATAGCTGACTGCAGAATTCTAAGCATGTCCATTTTATTATGTTTAAGAATCACAACTGCAGTGTTCGTTTTACAGAAATTATGACTTTTTTAAAAACAAGACTGAGCTGTAGAGAAGTGAGAAAGCAGATTCCATGAGCCGTTATGGCAGTGAGGTACATTTTAGATTTGTGAAAATGATTCTTTAAGTTATTTCAAAATGAATGATATTTTATTATTACAGATGTCAGATGCTAATGAGGACCTTTCAGCTCAGCTTTCTTGGGAGGAATAGGAAATGGAGTAATCATTTCAGACCAGGAATAATCAATCCCAATTTGTTAAGAAGCCAGTGAGCTCCACAATCACTTTGGCCTACAAAGCCCTGAAAAACACACTCTTAGGCCATTGTCTACACTACGAGATAAGTTCGAATTTAGCATAGTCGATTTTTCAGCCCTCGATGTTTTTAAAATAGAAGGTGCTTGTCCCCACAGTGTGCAAGAATTTGACGCAGTTAGAAACAGTGCATCCCAATAGGATAGCTACTATTGACTTTGTGAGTGATGCACTGTTGGTAGCTATGCCACAGTTCCTGCCGCTCCTTTGCATTCTGGGTTATGCTCCCAGTGTCCGAGGGGACCAAAACTGTGCAGCGGTTGTCAGTGTCCCATAATGCACTCATCTCATCCCTCCCCTCCTGCTTGAAAGCAACAGCAAACAATCTGTTCATGCCCCTTTTTCCCTTGGTTACCCATACAGACACCATAAAAAGGAAAGCGTGGAACCCATCACGGATCCAATTGAGTGTCAAAGCAGTATGGGAATCATATTAACCATGGTGCGCCTTATGCTGTAGTATGTCCAGAGTGCATCCAGGGTCTGCTGGAATGAGGAAGAATCTCAGGAAGCCATGAACACATTTTTGTGAAACACTTGCATTGAGCAACTGACAAATGTCGGCCGCATTCAATCCTCTGGACATAGCGGTATGTCGATTCTGGTGCCAAGCACAGACTGGTGGGACCACATAGCGCTGCAGGTATGGGACAATCAGCAATGGCTGCAAAAGTTTTGCACGTGTAAGGCCACTTTCATGCAAGTTTGCAAGATGCTTTTCCCCATCCTGAAGCACAAGAATACCAGAATAAGACCAGCTCTGCCAGTGGAGAAATGAGTGGCAATATCCCAGTGGAAGCCTGAAATGCCAGATAGCTACTTGTCAGCTGGAAATCAATTTGGAGTGGGGAAAATCTACAGTGGGGGCTGCTGTGATCCAAGTAGCTGTGATCCATATCCTTCTGCTAGAAAGGGTAGTGAGACTGAAAAACATGGAAGACATAGTGGAAGGCTGTGCCGCACTGCGTTTCCCTATCTATGGTTGGGCGATAGAGGGAACATGCGTGCCGACCTTAGACCCCAACCACCTTGCCAAGGAGTACGTAAACTGCAAGGGGGATTTTTCAATGCTGCTGCAGGCAACGGTGAAGCTGTTACACCAACATCAAGGGCTTTTTCACCCACCTCAACATGGGATGGTCGGGAAAGGTGCACGACATGCACATCTTTAGGAACTTCTGCCTCTTCAGAGTGCTGTAAGCTGGAAATCCCTCCCGCCCCCAGTACCAGAAAATGGCCACTGCAGGCACTGAATGCCAATAGTGATCCTTGGTGAGCCAGCCTACTCCTTGATCCTGTGGCTCATGAAGCCGTACATGGGCAGCCTGGACTGCCATGAGGAGAAGTTCAACTACAGGCTGAGCAAGTGCATAATGGTGATATAAGTGCCAAAGAGCATGTTCAAAAGAAAGCTCCACAGTCTACCGACTAGCTTAGACCTCAGCAAATGCAGCATTCCCATTTCAGTGGCAGTGTGCTGTGTGCTCCATAGTATTTGTAAGAGTAAGGGGGAAGTTCTATGGCAAGGAGAGAGGTTGAGGCAGAGCGCCTAGCCAGTAACTATGAGCAGCCAGACACCAGGGCAAGGAGAGCACAGCAAGGCTTTGAAGTAGGGACATGAATGGTTAAGCGGTAAGCCTCATTCTTTACCGTTAACCAGTGGGGACTGGAGGAGCCCCCTGACCACCATGAATAGGGGGCTGCTCCTGCCCCATGGAGCCCACCATAGTTCAGGGGCATTCAGCCAGGCTGGAACAGCCCACTACCGTGGTGGGTCTATCACCAGCGTGCCGCAGGCAGGAACACTCCAGCCCCTGACCATAGCATGGGGACCAGTCTAGCCTGCCCACCCTGTTTAGTCAATTAACCAGTTAAGCTTAATGTTTAACCAGTTAACTAACTAAATGAGATTTTACATCCCTACTTGGAACCACAGTTTTATGAATGGCCAGAGTTGAGGGTCATGCATGTTGCTCTCAACGCGGTGCCCCTGTATTTCCCATGCTTACCTGTAACCACCGTCTCCCCTCCCCCCAACACAGCAATAAAAAGAATTCAGAAATGATGAGTTTATTAGGGGGACACAGCAGGAACAGAAAAGGAGTCTAGGGCAGGAACGGGGCCTGTGATGTCACATTTGCAAGGACAGCCTTTTGCTTTGGGATGCATTTCCTGGGGCTTGAGTGCAAGGCTGTCCTTGGACTTTCCCACCGTATTTTAGGGCCCATGGGAAAGGAAGCTATGGAACCCATCTCCAGCAGCAGCACAGTCCTCCATTCACTTTAGCACTCCCTGTCCAAGTTGGCAGATTGCATTTGCTCATTGCACATGTCATCCTTACACCATTCTCGCCTGCAGATTTCTGCCAGCCGGACAGCTGGCAGAGCAGGGGGAAGCGCACAGCATGCTCACTGCTGTTCCCGCTGTAACAGAAAACGAAGGCCAGACTTCACTGTAGAGTGTAAAACCTAATCTGTTCACAAAAAGGAAGGGCCGTCTCAAGACAATAGGGATGCATTTTGTACAGGGCCACAGTTATGCTTCTAAGCAGCCACTATGCAGCCGGTATTGCAGAGTTCTTAAGGGAGAAGCTGGACTCGGTTTGGTGGCAGGCATGGAGCTCAAGCCTGCGGGATGAGGGGGGTCCAGGTGCGGTGGCAGGACAGGGACTCACATGGCCCCCGTGTGCTCATCACCCCACCACTTGGTGGAAGAGCCCAGCTTTCCCTCCCCGCAGGACCACGCGGGCAGGAGAGCGGAGGAGGTCCATGCATGGCAGCAGGGCAGGGGCTCAAGCCACGCTTCCTTGGGGACAAGCAAACAAGAGGTTTACTGCAGAGGCACCAGCTAATAGCTGCCCATGCTCCATCCAGGTTGCCTGCGAGAGATCAGCCTCTTCTGAATTGCACAGATGCTGACTGATTGTGGCCAGAAACCTGGTCTTATGCTGCCATAACGCCAGACTATGGCAGGCCTCCCCAGAAACCTTGTGAGAGTGACTGCAGAGTTCCTCTAGGAGAGCTTCTACGGAGACATGCAGGGAGGATTCCCACTCCATCTCCAGACAGTTAACAAGCTGTTCCAGGGACCCCCTGCAATTGTGTAAGCACAGTGGCTGCCATAGATCACGCCCAATTGCCTTAATCCACTTCGAGCACGGTAAAAAATACACACTCCCTGGGAATAGTGGCTGGCTGCGAGACACCCTAGGAGGAGGGGACTGGCTCCAAAGTTATTAAAAGATCCTGGCTGGCAGTGACATCGACTGCCCCACTCGCCTGCTAAACGTTCTCCTCATTGTCCACCCTGTCCTCCATGCTAGCACTCAAGGAGTGTCTTTGGAGGAATCCATGGACTGGCGAGGGAAGCTGGTCAGGTCCACCCCCTTCCGCCCAAGGATCATGTGCAGCTGGTCAGCGAAGCAGCATGTTTGCAGCAATGATCCAGACAGTTCATTTGTCTCCGTCTGCTCTGGTAGGACTGCTTCAGCTCCTTTATTTTCACATGGCACTGCTGAGTGTCCCCGGTGTAGCCTCTCCCCTCCATGCCCTTTGCAATCGTGGTGTAGATATCCGTGTTCCTTTTGCTGGTTCATAGTTCTGCAAGAACAGATTCTTCTCCCCATGCAGCAGTGAGGGCCAAGATCTCCAGCATGCTACATGCGACCCTAGGAACTCACGGCAAAGTGTGCTGCCTGCTCTGAGCTCTGCTCGCCACGCAGGAAATGAAATTCAAATTTTCCCATGGCTTTTCCTGTTCCCCTGGAGAGCAGCAGAGTTCCAAGTCCTGGTCACTGCAGGGCACCTCCCGCAGGCCATGAGCTTCGACTGTCACAGCACTATCGTAAGTTGACCATGCAAGGTCAAATTTAGCTAAACTCCTCGTGAAAAGCAGGAGCACCAAAATCAACCGACTGCAGCTAAATTTGAACTAAACTCCCAGTGTAGACCAGGCCACAGATGTGTTACATTTCACAGAAAGCCCCATCAGAATAATTTCCTCCCACCCGCTATCAGGAGAAGCTGAGTTTCACATATTATTTGGTGACTTCTACAGTACCGTGATTGATACTTCGTCTCAGTTACAGCAAAATATTTATTCTTTGTGGCCTTATATGCGGCAACCCAATTTCATCTTGGACCAGATGAGGTCAGCAGGGCAAGGAGAAAGAAAATGCCTCTGACCATTCTCTGCTCCTCTCCCCCCAACCTTCTGTTAAGCATTCAGAACACTTTAAGATGCTGTTTGGCTTCTCCCCACCCCCCCCGCGGCTCCCTTCCCCTGTGGATAAATCCTGAAGAGTCAAATCATACCACCTAAGTTAGAAAAACGGGGTGTGTTTACCAATGTGTTGTTAGAGAACTCTGTTAAACACCATTTAGCACCTTGAGCAGACAAAGGCAGTGGTGCTTCAAGATGTGTTGGTTAACAGGAAGTCTAAAAAAAATCTCATTTTTCCAATCTATACAGGTCTTAAATTGGCAACTAACTCCTTTTGTCAGATGGCTTTTTGGAAGAGGCTTTCTTTTAAACAATGTTTCTTGTAGCCACACCTACCTGGCAAGAGAGCAGTCAGTCCTTTGACCTGTTAGGGGGAAACACACACACAAAAAAAAAAATCAAGGCTTGCACCAGGGAACAGAAACAGGAAAATGCTTTTGACAAGACATGCAACCCGTATTTGGAAATGGGGAGGGGGACTGGGAGAACAATAAGGAGTGATCATGTGGCTGCTTCCCCCAATGACTGCCACTATTAAGATCAGGAGAGCCCATTCCCATTGGTAAAGTCTCCCCCACCCCAAGCCTGACCAGTAAATGCAGAAAACAGCTTCGGCAGCCTGCGGACTCTTTATTTGGAAAGCATTGTTTCTCAAAATTGGTTCCCCGTGCAGTCTAATTGTTGACTTCCACTGCCAAAAAAACTAGGCTTGTCAACCTCTCCCTCCTCCTTCCCAAGGGACCGAGGGGTGGGGGTGGGGGCGCAGATTATACTTTATGAAACCACTTAGAAAGATTGAAAACATTTTCTGATTTGTTAGCCCACAGGCTCGATGTACAAGCAGTTAGCTATTTCAAGAGGCAGCACTTTAATGATATATTCCACAATCATATTTGCAAAATCGTTCCATTAACTTTCATTCTGTTTGCAAGGAGGGCATCACGCTACCATGGCTGCTGATGAAACAGCAGTTAAAATAGCACAGGAAGGAAACAAGGAGCTACAATATTTGGCATATACCTTTGATCACTCAAGCACTGCAGCTCAGATCCTCAGGTGGTACAAATCAACATCACCGCTATGCCTATTTACACCAGCTAATGATTTGGCTCTCCTTTCCCCACCAAAGCTTAATGCCTCACTGATAGATGAGACAGAAGGAAAAGGGCCAACTGTTGAATGCTGTGATCCAACAAAACACATTGTGAGCGGTCGTTTTCCCCTCTCGGTGTAAAAGCACATTTAACCAAAATAGTGCACACTGTATAAAAATGTTATCCAGAACCAGAGTTCTTAACCATCTGTCCCACTGCTGTCACAGAACATTCATACCTGTAAATTACACAGCTGAGGCAACATCAAAGGGCTCTTACATTACAATGAGAAATGTAGACAGGCATGGACATAATTACTTGTTAAAAGGAAGACCTGCTGGTATTTTTATTACCAGAATTTATCTTTAGATTAGGATCATTTGCAAGAGAAGTGATCAGACGTAAGCTAAAGGGGAAAAAAAGCACAATAGAAATAGGCATTCCCCAGCATCTGGGGAGATGCAGCTGCATGCTGTACTTCAGTGGGCAAAAGGCCTTCCTGGAGTGAGGCTGATGCAATGTGGGAAAAGGTTTAGCATAAGTTATGGGACTGGGTGTTGAGCACTCATCTCTGTTTCTCCCATTGATTTCCTTGCTTTGGACTAGAGCCATAATGCACCTCTTGTTTCCTCCAATGCCACAGATAACAGCAGAGTTTTTTGTTGGCTTGTTTTTAAGTAGCTCTTGCTTACTCTGTCGGACATGCACCAGATCCCTTCTTAAGCTCAGCTCCCAAGTTGCTCAAGCATTGCAAAGCAACCACAAACAGCAGGGGCCTCTAAAGCTAGAGAGGCGCAACCAACACATGGAACATTTCTCTTACTCCTGCCTTGTGCCTCAGCTTGAGATCAGTTCAAGGGGCGGGCAGGTTAAGAGCCAAGAGGTCATGGTATGCAGAGGTCAGCTACAAACCAAGAATGTGATTCGTCACAGAGGCAAGTTGGGTGTCATGTGGAGATGTTTATAGGCTAAGGAAAAAGGCACTCAAGAAACTGCATTTCTGATTCTCCTTGCCCACTTCATAGGACAGCTGAAGAGGAGGACAAGGGACTTTCAATATCCTTTCCTCACTCCCTACAGTTTTGGTCTGATTAACATGAAGTTCTTTTTAGAGCAAGACAACTTTTTTTTTTTGAACTCTGAAAACAAACCAACTTTACAACCTGCACACTGTTTAAACACTCATCCAGAAGAGAAGTTGCGCTTGTGGGATTAAATGCAGATACCTAGCCCAGAGAAGCAGGCCCTGCTATCATGTATATGTAAGAGTCTATGAAATCAAGCCATTGCAGAGCAGATATTCAGACTCCCAAACCATCCAAGCAAACCCTGGCTGGGGAGGCTTGCATGGAGACATGGATACACTGCTTGGGGAGGCAGAGAGCTGTTATTCAGTGGTGAGTACGTTCAATCTTGACTGCTTCCTTCTGCCAAGTAGATGCACATTTGATCTTCTCTGAAATGCGTTTGTATTTCTACGAACACGGGGCAGGTTCTAGTGCATTAGTCTGGTTTGGATTGAGCCTACAGGGGTGAAAAGGAGCTCCTCTACCATCCTCATGAGGCAATGCTTCTAAAATCAGCAGTAAACAGTAAATCAAAAGGTTTACCTCCATTCAGATTAAGAAGGGGAAGCGACAGGAGTGGGTACATGCTTCATTTAAATCAACAGAAGAGGCACATTCGCGCCTCATTATGCATTTGCCTTTCACATTACTCAAGCACCCATTTAGTGCTGCACCAAGCAAGCTGGAAAAATAAATTCATAAAACATGAGTCTGTCCACTTAGCATTGGTAATCTAGGAAAGTCACGCTCAGTCAGCTGCCTAATTCAATAACTACAGACAACTGTCTAATGGAGCGACAAGCAGGTCCCAGACTCACTTTCTCCCAGAGTCTTCTGTAGAAGATCATGCTTGGCCTGAAGCTTGGTGATCAGGTTCCTGCCTTCCAGGTACTCCTTCATTTTCTGTAGTGGTGAAAGAGAGGAAAAAAAACCAAGACCATCAATGGGGTGTTCATTTTTCAGATGGCCATCTTCCAGCTGCTGGACTCTGCACACAGCTGTGAACCATAGTGTGAGAGCTCCAGAGAGAGAAGAGTAAAATGAAATTACAGATCTACAGCCTATTCCTAGCCCACGTGCCATCTCATTTCTCTTGCCCCAGTCTAGATACGGGCTGACGTGCGACTCAATGCTTGGCATTTCTAGACATCTAAGCGGCCCTCTTACTCCCTGCTCTCCAGAGACAGAGGGGGGCAGAAATGCACTTTCATCATGCGTCACTAACAACTGAATAAACAATCTGTTTTAACCAACTAAAAGGCTGCTACTGTGCTTATTTCTCTCACTTAACCTCTCTCACCCCACTTTACTCATCAGATACTGCATCTGCCTCTATTCTGGACACACAATAGGGAAAGGGAAAAAACCCAACCAAGGTGACAGTTGAGTTCAGATTTGCTCTGCTTCTCTCGAGCAGAAATATCACAGACCATTCTCTGTTTTATGTGAGCTGGGTAGGTTTCCCCAGATCTTCAGAAGAGATTTATTCAACTGTATCGTCCCTTGTTCTGAAGGACGGTATATTATTCATCTCTAACATGCTGCAAGTAAACAAAGAGCTGTACTGAAGATCAGTGTGGAGTTAACAATTGGAAGAGGTTAGGCATTTGTAATCTTTTGTTCAAATATTAGAGTGGTGAGCACAACTTTATTATACAAAACTTTTCTAAACCACCAACAGGTTAAAAATGGAACCAATAGAACGCGAGATGAAATGAAGGCAGTATCATGTACTGGTCGGATCTCCCTGGTCCAGAATACTTGGGACCAGACCAGTCCCAAACTAGGGCATTTGCTGGCCACTCTGCTGCCAGCTGCCAATCCCTGGCTATTTGGCACCTGGCCACAGGGGGCAAACCTAACAGCCCCAACCACTGGCTGCTAAGCTCTGTGCCCCAGCTGCTGCAATCTAGCCCTGGGCTCCACTCCCAACCACTGGCCCACTTCTTTGGTCTGGCAACAACTATGGTTCTACTGCACCAGTTTTTCCGCCCCCATGAGTGCTCGAAACCTGGGAGCACCCATGGAGTCCGAGCATACCGGACCAGAGAGGTTCAACCTGTAATCATCAATTCTTCCAACTCCTGCCGTCATCTTACCTCATTTCTATCCATTGTTGTTCACTCATGATTTGTACTCTCAATTTAGCCGAGGCTCCTTGAAGTATACATAGTGTCTTAGTTGTGAAGTGCTCCTATGTAGGTCATAACAATGAGCATGCTCTTAACATATTTAAAGGGAGAGAAGGATAATGACCAAGATATACATATGCTATCAAGGGAAAATACCACCACTGAGGAGCCTGGAAGCACCAAATTGTGGATCTGCTGACTGTTAGTTTCTAGAGACAAGTCAGCTACAAAGACAATTGGCATTTGAATTTTAATTAGAGCCCAGAAATCAGGTTGCTGCTCTGAACCTTCCTAGTGCACGCAACTGGAAAAGGAATTTCATGAAAACCAAATCTCTTGGGAAATGTGCAGCATTTCTGGCTTTGGTTTGGGTGGATACATTTTGGCCCTAAAAGAAAGCAGAAAGCATGGAAGTAAAGGGCAAAATAAATTAAAAATTCAAGTCCTACAAGCATTTCCGAACCTTCAGAAGAACTTGTACCAAAGCTTAATGCTGACTGGCCATTTCCTCCCAGAACCTGTTCAAACCTACTCCAAGCACAGGCTGCTTCTTGCATTCTAATCATTTCGGTTAAAAGGAGTCTGTCTATTCAGCTCCAGACTATTTCACTCAAGTTTTGACAGACAACCAGGTTAGGGCTTTATCCTTGCATCTCTCATGCACAACAGCCACATGATACTGCATTTCATGCTCCAGGGTGTTGGGCTGTGAGCATCCGTTTGATACTGAAAGGTGCTGAGCTCTCTCGCCTCTGACAGAAGTCAAAGGAGACTTGATGGGGCTCACACATTTCAAGACCATTGTAATCAACTCCCAACAGTAAACACCAAATGCAGGAGTTTTCCTTTGTCCCATGTTCAGTTTATTGCTTTGATTTTTATGTGAGGCTGGGACAGAGGCTTTTTACATTTCAGCTTGCAGTAAGGAACTAAGCTATATATTTGGAAAAAAGAAAGTGAATTCCAAATTTTCCACTGGGATTACTAGTTTGCTTCCCCCTCCCGTCACATCTTAAAAAAACAACTGCACATTTTGTTCTGCAAAGAGATACCAGATTGGCAGCCCCACTGTTTTTCCACGGACCAAATACATAAAGGACAGCGGTAAGTCAACATGTGCTCATAACAGGCCTGGGAAGATACCATTCCCCTCAGGGAGGGACCAGCTCTAGGCTGAGAGAACCAAGGGAGTAATCAACGTGGGGGTGGTTTGCATGTCCGCTAGGACCTGCAATGAAAGCATCTGAGACCCAAAGATTAACTGTGATATGTTTGGAATACGTCCCCCCCCCCCCCCCCCCCCCCCCACCCCTCACTCCCCCCCCTCTCCCGCTTCCCCCCTCCATTCCCACCACAGCTGACATGACAATTCTATTCCTCCCAGTAAGGGAGAATGTAAGAAATGCATACAAACTTTTTGGTATATGGAACTCTTCCTCAAACAAACTGCAACATTTGAATTCCATCATATAAACCGAAAGTATGTAAGGAAACATTGCCTTTGTTCTGATGACAAAGCACTTCCAGTTACTGTCTTACGGTTTATGAACCCCCTTGATGGAATTGCATTATAATATTTCTTGGCTGTATCTCTACTTATTGACAAACAACGTAAAAGGATGCCATTTGTAGGGAGGTACAGATTGTTTAATACTATCACGGCAAAGTTGATAAACATCCTTGATACACAATTCTGCTTTATAATGCATTTTTTCCTCTATCCTATTTATTATTTAGCTAGGGATATTAAATATCAATATGGATAGGCAAAAGGAATGGTTATTTGCACAACAACAGGAGCTGTGTTCCTATCTGGTCTTCTGCTTCTTCCTCACTTAACACCAGGCTCTTAAGTGTTTGGTATCAGCATTCTTCGTATCAGCTAATTATATTACCAACACATTAGATCATTAAATCAGCAGTACAAGTTCGTGACCTTCTAATGGACAAAAACTGTTTGCATGACAGTATCTCCAGTTACCACAAACAAAAACAAACCAACCACAAAAAACACTGTGGTCCAAGGAAATGAGAAACTCCCGAAAACCATCAGCATAAAACGCCTCTGTAACTAATGGATTTTAAGAAACATCTCCCATGAGGCATCAGCAGACCTTGCGGGGGGGTGGGGGGGGGAGACAGTTTAAAGTCATGAGAAATTTAGGATCCAAGTGAAGATTCAGTCCGTCTGTGAAGTCAGCACACCACACCCTGAGATGTCGAAGAACAAGATGCCAAAGCATTCCTTGGCTAGCTTGTGCAGTGATTACGGAAACCTTTTGTTGCAGAACCCGTCATAGGTCACTGGCTTGCTTCCTGCTGTCAGTCAAGAGCCCATTAAAACAAATAACCATTTGATAATGAGGTACGAGATTGCCCTTCTGGATCCTAGGGGTCTGCCCATGAAGTCACAGACTAAAGCCAAAAGGGACCCTTCATGATCAAGTCTGACCTTCCCCATGCAGCAAGCCACACATGCTCCCATAATAGAAGGAAAATATTTGTCTGAGTTACTGAAGTCCTGAAATCAAGATTTAGAGATTTTTGAGTTAGAGAATTCACCAACTATACTACTTTAAAACCACAAGTGACCTTTGCCCCACGCTGCGGAGGGTCTCTGTTAGGGATGTAAGCAACTAATTGATAGCAAAAGTTTATCGGACAGTCAACACTAGTCGCTTCCCCCTGCCCTGCTGCCTTTGTCAGAAAAAGGCAGCAGGGAGAGGGGGCAGGTGAAAGAGGAGGGGGTGCTGCGGGGAGCTGGCTTAAAAGCTGGTTCCCCCCAGTTCCAGCTCCGTGGGAGGGGGCAGGGACACAGCAGCAGTGTTCCACCTTAGAAATGTATGAAGATTTCATTTCAAAGACTGAAACGCTGCATGGAGCCCGGGGCCAGTAGGGAGTCCCCGGCTGACCCTAGACTCCATGCGGGCACTTCCGCTTTGAAATGTACAAGAGCTCTTGTGCATTTCTATGACTGAAATGCCACACGGAGTCCCCTGCTGGCCCCCATGCAGTGTGTCTGCTTTGAAATGTACCAACAGCTGGGTGGCTCTTGCTACATCTCAAAGTGGAAGCACCTTTATCGACTAATCGAATCATCAATGGAAATTCCATTGACTATTTGATAAGTTGATTTATCTAATTTTAAGATCCCGAATCTCTGCCACTCTGGAGAAAAAATTCCTTCATGACCTCAAATACAGCAGCGGAGTTTGAGCATTTCAGCAAGGCCCAACAGCCAGGCTCACGAAATTCTCTGTATTAAGTCAAAGCCCCCCCATCCACTGTCCCATTATTGGCCACTGCAGTATTTACCTCTGACTACAAGCATTACCCAGTTTCAGGATGGAAGACAGGTTCACAGATGACAACATGTATAGGTTTGAATGACTGTGCATTAGGAATAAACAAGAACAAGCCCCCACCCCCTTAAGTGCTCTCCATTACCCTGCAGAAACTACTCCCAAAATACCATTTTTGTATGTCCTTATTTCAGTGGTTCTCAAAGCATGGTCTGCTGATCACTAGTGGTCATACACCCAGCTTGGGGGAACAGCAATGCAAGAAACCGCTCACCCGTAGGCTTTCTCCGCTGTCCCCATTGGCCAGAATCATGGCCAATGGGAGCAGCAGAGGACAGTGCCTGCAAGTGGTGGAGTGAATGGAGCCAGGTAAACACCCCCTGTACCTCTCGTGCCCAGACCCTGCACCCTACCCCCCCAGCCAGACCCTCAGCCTGGTCCTGCACCCAACCTCCCAGTCAGACCCTGT